TGTTATTTCATAGATACAAGTATTTAAGCAAATGCTCTGTTTATGATAAACAGTATTAAATAACATTTACCGCCTGAATGTCCGAGAATTTTCATAGAAAATTTTCGTTTCTTTGACAGGATTCAACCTGCATCCTATAATGAACCGTCATATACGCTGACGTGCCTTACCGCTTAAGCTACAAAGAACCAATCGGTAGACAAGGTCGAATTTACTGCTTATAAACTCCAATTTTCCATGAATCTCGTACATTCATAACTGCTCTGGCGTGTCGAATGTAAACAAATGACGTCATATATTAAGAAATGGACAAGGTCCGACAATTTATTTATTAAAGACATATTTTTATGTTTAACGTTGTTATTTCATAGATACAAGTATTTAAGCAAATGCTCTGTTTATGATAAACAGTATTAAATAACATTTACCGGCCTGAATGTCCGAGAAATTTTCATAGAAAATTTTAGTTCTTTGACAGTTTAAAACCTGCATCCTATACGGAACCGTCATATACCGCTGACGTGCCTTTACCGTCAGCTACAAAGAACCAATCGGTAGACAAGGTCAATTTAGATGCTTATAAACTCAATTTTCCATGAATCTCGTACATTCCTAAACTGCTCTATGAAAATTTTCTCGATGTAAACAAATGAATCATATATTAAAACTGGACATCAAACCGACAATTTATTTATTAAAGACATATTTTTTATGTTTTAACGTTGTTATTTCATAGATACAAGTATTTAAGCAAATGCTCTGTTTATGATAAACAGTATTAAATAAAATTTCGACCTTTGTCCGAAACAGAGCATTTGCTTAAAAATTTTCGTTCTTTAAAAATATGTCTTTTAATAAAAAATTGCATCCTTGTCCATTTCTTGGAATGATCAATTTGTTTACATGCGACACGCCAGAGCAGTTATGAATGTTTCATGGAAAATTGAGTTTATAAGCAGTAAATTGACCTTGTCCACCGATTGGTTCTTTTTGTAGCTTTAAGCTTAAGGCACGTCATCGCTGCATATGACGGTTCCAGATAGGATGCAGGTTCGAATCCTGTCAAAAGAACCTAAAATTTTCTATGAAAATTTCTTTCGACATTCAGGCCGGTAAATGTTATTTAATACTGTTTATCATAAACAGAGCATTTGCTTAAATACTTGTATCTATGAAATAACAACGTTAAACATAAAAAATATGTCTTTAATAAATAAATTGTCGGACCTTGTCCATTTCTTAATATATGACGCCATTTGTTTACATAGATACGCCAGAGCAGTTATGAATGTACGAGATTCATGGAAAATTGGAGTTTATAAGTCATTAAATTACTGAATTCGACCTTGTCTACCGATTGGTTTTTTTTGTAGTCTTAAACGTAAAATTTCGGTAAGAATTCGCGTCAGCCGTATATGACGGTTCCGGGTATAGGATGCAGGTTTCGAATCCTGTCAAAGAACGAAAATTTTCTATGAAAATTTCTCGGACATTCAGGCCGGTAAATGTTATTTAATACTGTTTATCATAAACAGAGCATTTGCTTAAATACTTGTATCTATGAAAATAACAACGTTAAACATAAAAAATATGTCTTTAATAAATAAATTGTTTGGACCTTGTCCATTTCTTAATATATATATATATATATATATATATTTTGTATATGTGTGCATGTCTCTATATATATGTGTGTGTGTATATATATATATATGTTTGTATATGTGTGCATGTCTCTGTATATATATGTGTGTGTGTGTATATATATATATATATATATATATGTTTGTATATATGTGCATGTTATATATGTGTGTGTGTATATATATATATATATATATATATTTGTATATGTGTGTGCATGTCTCTGTATATATATATGTGTGTATATATATATATATATATATATATATATATATATATATATATATATGTGTGTCTTGGGATATATCTATATGTGTCTATGTATATATGGCTCTGTGTGTGTGTGTATATATATATATATGCGTGTATCTCCGGATATATCTATATATGTGTCTATGTATATATGGCTGTGTGTGTATATATATATATATATATATATATATATATATATATATATATATATATACATATATGTGCATATATGTATATATATATAGATGTGTGGTATTGTAGATATAGAACAATGATAAACACTAGAGAATCTGACGATTGCAAAGTTCTATATTGGTAATACTAAGAATTCTTTCAAGACTATCAATATGTATTGTCCTTTACTAATAATACTTATAGAAATAATATATAATTTTCTAAATATTTTTAGAGTTTGAATAATGATAATAAAACTCCTAAGGTGAAATTAAATAATTAAAAAATGGCAAAGACATGTAGATCCTTATATGAACCCTGTTTTTTGTGTTTACATGAAAAATTGCAAATTATCTGGTTCTTTGATAAGAAAACTTTATTAAACCAGAGATCTGAGTTAATGGTAAATTGTAAACATAGTCTACCTTTTACCTTACAATTCAGTTATGCTTGGAATTTGACAATGCTTTTTCTTAAATTTTAGTTGAACTAAAAGTATTAATATCTAGTAGGACTGGAGTGTGTTCACTTTACATGAATTCACTTAGCCCTTACAAAGCATAACATTTTGGATGTTCAACAACCGCTGAGGGATCCTTTCTGTACCCCAATACAACATGTCACTTCAAAAGATGAGCATTGCCAAATAACCCCCATTACCCTGATAGGTGCCATGGAGGAAAATTACTTTGCATGATACCACAACAATCTAATGGGTCATGGAAAATGTCCACTATATTTTGATCAATGCATTTTCCAGGTGTATAATCTACTTTTAGATAGTTTTAGTCCTGGTGTGAGGAAAGATTATTTATCTGAATTTTTCTCCAGTCTCCAAAAAGCATGTAAAAAAAAATCACCAAAAACAATCACAGTAATGAAAACTTAGGAATCCAAAATTTCAGGATTGCGGGTCCAGATTCAGCCCGGATTTGCTTCTGAAGTCAACCTGATTCCAAAATGGTATGATATGTAGGGCTATGACCTCTAGGAGTAAAGTGAAACACTGTAATTTGATATAAGCTAAAGCTCATATCAAATGAAAAAATTACTATTCTCAAATTACAGTGTTTCAAAATAAAATTTAGAGAGTTAAAATAATGTGACACACTGACATTTGAAATTATTATATAGAAGACTACAGACATTTTGAGTCAATTAATTTTACAGATCCCATTTTCCAAATTGCAAATAATCCTTCTCAGACAAGGAGAAAATTCCATCTGAGAAAGATTATTCATAATTTAGAAAAGTTGATGAGTAAAATTAACCTGCACAAAATGTCTTGTCTTTAATAATATTTACCTTAAAGAACGTTTGCTGCCTAAATATATATATATATATATATATATATATATATATATATATATATATATATATACACTTTCAAGTGCCACTTAAGTTTCATTCTTCTACCAACTCCTCAGGAAGTTGCACTTTGAACATAGGTATATGTATATTTATTAATATATACCACTTAGCTCTCTCTAACCACATTGAGCACTGTTTTGTTTATACCTTAAATTAATTTGAGTAAATATTTATTCGCTTACCTATGTATGCACGCTAACACACATATATATTGTTGCTAATATTTAGTTATTTGATTTATCCATATCTCTCTCTCTCTCTCTCTCCCTCTCTCTCTCTCTCTATATATATATATATATATATATATATATATATAAAAATAATTGTCAGATTTTTGTCCATTTCATAATATATATATATATATATATATATATATTTTACTAATTTTATCAGCTCATGACTTTGTAATATTCTTTTACTTTTTAAAGGTGAAAATTATTTCTAAACAACCAAAGCATGTCTACATATTTAGGGGATATCTCATAAAATGAACATTAGTAAATCTCATTGCTAAATGGTGCCATCTTCATTGACTGTTCCATCATTGACTGTTTGTACCAAAATAAGCCTCATTTAGCAAATACTTATGTATTTTTCTGATGTTATTTAAGAAAATACTTTAGAGATTTGTGTAAAGAGAAATCCAGTATAATTAAAATAAATAAATATGACCAATTCTCTTGAGCACAATTTTGATGCTTTGAAAAAAGAAAAAGAAAAATTAAAATCCACAAGATTATTGTTTAATATATTTTATTGTTATATGTTGTTTATATATACACAAATATGTAAGTAAATGCTCTGTTTATAATAAAGAGTATTAACAACATTTACTGGCCTGAACATTTGAGAAATTTCATAAAAATTATGTGTCCTCCAACAGAAATTGAACCTACATGGAACTGTCATATAGCCTGACTTGCTATACCAGTTTAGCTATGAAGGAGTATCTTGTTAGCAAAGCCGATTTTACTGCTTTTAAACTACAAACTTCCTATGATTTCCCTCAAAGGTCCATATCTGCTTGAAGCATATCTGACCTCATTTGTTTACGTTACGTAAACAAATGAGGTCACACACAATGAAATGGACTAAGTCCAACAATTATTTTAATATATTTTTATTGTTATACATTATTTATATATACACAAATATTTAAGTAAATACCCTGTTTATAATAAACAGTATTAACAACATTTACTGGCCTGAACGTCAGAGAAATTTTCATAGAAAATATGTGTAATTATAAACAGAGTATTTACTTAAATATTAATATAAATAACATATAACAATAAAATATATTAAAAGATTATCTTTGTTTTTTTCTTTGATGACAAAGAGAAATGAATAATAAAAGCTAGATTTATACAACTTTAGATTTGTTTTCAAGATGTACAATTCAATTTTTCTTTTTCCTGTTTCTTTGATATTGCCAGAATGCAGTGAGGTGTAAGCAAATTTGCCTTTCAAACATGACTTTGAATTAGTGCTGAAACCAAGTGTGTTTTATACAGATGCATATACATACCCAAAAATGTATATTCAATAATTATACCTACTCAGATGGTGGTAACAAGCCAGTGTCTGCAATTTCATAGTGTAGAGATCGACCAGTAGGTGGATAAAGGCCCCTGAAGAGAAAAAGTAGAGAAAGGAAAAAAAACAAATACAAGTTGTTGGAATTGAAAACAAAATGGTTGACAGATTGAGCTACAAGTAATGAATTAGGCTACAATTGAGAAACTATCACTACTAAATTTGAATTGACTTTCTGGTACTATTCCTGTGATTAAACAGTTTAATAAATAAATGTTACTTAACATTTTAGTTCTGATTTCTTGAAAAAATAAAGTATAAATCCAAATTCTTGAAAACTATTTTAGTGAATTTTTGCAGCAAGATCAAATGAAAGAAATGCCCTGAAAATACATTTCTTTTTTTTAATTTTATAATTACAGTTACTCGTAGTGATGTGTTTATTTAAATTTTCTTGTTCTCAGACATCTTTTATAAATCTATGAACAACAAATGTCTTCCATAGTTATTTCTTTATAATATATTAAATAATAAATATTGCATTGTAGTTGGTTGGCATAGTTTTATAAGCTTGTGAATATAAAATTATTCTTGTAACTAAACAATTTAATAAAATAGTGTTTAATTCTTTTGTTTATTCTCAAGAATAAAAGAGAATGCATAAAAATTCATCTTGATATGTTTAGGTTTTATTAAAATTTTTAAAATAGCTTTTTAAAACAATAAAAATTGCAGAAAGAGTATACAATAATAGTAGTGTCAAGAGAAAAACTGTCTTTTTGACACACCATTATTTTGCAGGTATGTTTGTTAAACTTTGCCAACTTTCTTTTCATTAGTTATGTCACCTTTGAAAACAGCACCAAAAGATGTAAGAAGCAAAATTTTAAATTTAGTAGCATTGAACTTTCAAATCTGATAGCCTCACTTAATAACTGATCAGTACTAAATAAAAAGAAGACAAATTATTCCTAGACATAGACAGAAGAATAAAAACAATTTACTTCTGTAGATTAAATAAAGGGTTCAGCAAGCACCTGAAGAAGGCTGTTGGGCACAACAGCCGAAACATTGTGATAATAAGAACAAAGATGAGTACAATAGTTTGAGAAAATAATGTAAATAATCTTATTTGTTTCAAGAATTTAATTACATTCACATAACCTTGGGAAAGATATGGCACCATCTCTTCTTCCCCCAGCTGTGGGTCAAATAGTAGGATTTTTATCTGGAAAATCATGTTTATCTCAAAAAAAAAAAAAATTGTTTATGCAATATGCACTTGCAAAACAAAAAAGATAATCTGACACACCAAAATGTGTTTTGGCTTTAAATAACCTACAAAAGGTTGCTAAGTCATAAAAAACAAATCAATCAATCTAAGAAATTAATACTTTTTTAATCCACCTCATCAAGGTGATAATGCCATTAAAATGCAAGGGGCTACTGAGATTGAAAGAGAATGAAAAGACTTTAGAAGGAACTGGAAATCCAATCCTAAATCAAAAACAATAGATAAACTTTTACTCCTGTTTAAAAGACCAGGAGAGGAGTGTGAACTGGATGATAGGCAAACCTATCTACTCCTATTAAGGAACTTAAGAAATTACTTAAGTTTACAGATTGGATTTGAAATTGTTTTCTTTCAAGTTAGAACATTATAACCATATTGATCTAATAAAAATCTAGCTATGATATTTTTGATATGTTATTATAACAAACACACCCTCAAACAGAGATTGCATAATATAGATGCAGCCATTGTATTGTTCACTGCATAATTACATTAATTATTGAGATTAACTGAATGCGCTAGCTACTAAGGATGGTCATTGGATAGAATTTTGTTGTTTTGACTCTTCATTCTTTTTGTCTATTTCACATGCAGAATGAAAATTTGATTATCTTGCCAAGAACAACTTGTCCTATTATTCTTTATTGTCACAATGTGTCAGTTTCTCTTTAATTATATTGACTTTTTCAGCATCAATTTTAAAGGATAATTTTTTTACAATTGGCTTTAGGTATTTTTGAAGTCTTTTATATCTGCAGACATACAATTTCCAAACCATTATAAATTTACTTGATTTATTCAATTTTAAGATAACCTCTTACAACAAAATAAATAACAAATAACATGATATGAGTGGGGGCTGTAAAGTTCTCAGTCCAACTCAAAACCTAACTACATTACTAAACATCAATTCCCTTTTTTCTTTTTAAACCCTTCTTCCTGAAGCAGAGAACTTTTTTTAGCATCCCATCTTATAAAATAATGGTAATGATTTCTATGCAGGAAATATTTCTTTTAAAATGATTTTTCAGGAAAATAAGCTTCTCAGGTCCATAAACTATTATGGCTCTTTCTAGTACTGATGCAAATTTCCTTCCTAACCTTTTATTCAAAGTAGTGTGGAAAATTAACATCTTGATTACTTTCCCTTCTAGTCACATGTACTATTCCTTTTTGTTGTTACTTTTGATAGTCTCCAAGTGATGTAGATTTTATTATTTGGTAAAGTTCTTTGTCATTTTATATTGTCTATAAGATCTGATGAAGAGATGTCTTTTTTAATGGACAAATAGAACAAAATGAAATGCATAATTTTGTTGCTTGACTTTCATCAAAGTCTATTTAACTTGCATAATTATTCTTCAGGATTATCCTATCATAAAGTTAAATAGCATTCAAATGGCTTCATAAAACTCAAACTAAAATGAATGACCAGATTTTATTGTCTGTATTGATTCGTATTCATTCCTCTATCGATTGTGTATAATTTCTCTTCTGACAATATATCTTAAGAAGTTGCTATTTATATAATGACTAGCGTCATTGGCTGTTCATCATTTCTGAGTATTTAATTCCTGTGTTATACTCATCCTTTCTCAATTTCTGGCTCCATGCCTTTGATATTACACCTTCCATCTTTGCTGAGTAGTTTGATACCAGAGTGGTCAATTGTTACTAGTTTCTCCCAGTTCTACAATTTTACAGACTGATGTATTTTTCTATATTCTGTTTCTGTCTGTTGGTAATTAGAAATTCTTCAAAGATTTTGTTCTGATGTGATACTTATCCAACCATGTCATCAGGAATCATAAAATTTTTGAACAAAATGACTAGTATAATACCTGTTAAAAATGATAGGTTTATTTTCATATGGATCAGCACTTTTGCTTACAATCAGTGTAGTACCTGTGCATTCTATGTGCACAACACACAAATATTTAATAAGTAATATTAGCATAGTTTGTTTATGCTGTTAGGCACATTGACCAATAAATTAGTAGAGAATAACATATTTAAGATGAACAGTTTTTGTAAATAGAGATTAAAAAACAGACCATTAACAGTGAATAGATAAATAAAAAGGTTAAACAAACTCTGAATTATAAGACATTAAATTTGTTATTTCTCTATTCCTGTGTTTATGCATGTATATATACAAGTATGTGTGTGAGATATATATATTACATATACACACAAACACAAAATTAGTATATGTGATAAGGAAATTGAACATAGAATAGGGATAGTTTTGCTCAACACCTCAAGTTGCTACAGAATCAAAACATTAACCCAAAAAATGTGAGTCATGTTCTTAAATATCCTTGTCAGATCAAAATTTTCAGCTGGATGTCATGCTTGATGCTGAACTTATTCAGAAATATCAAAATTGTCAGCTGTATACAACCATTTTTTTCAGATTGGCTCCAAGCAAGTGAAGCATGTAGGTTTTAGTGAGGACCATCATTCTTTAAATCTTGTCGACTGACATTGCAGAATCACAAAGAACTGTACCAGATAAGAAAAAATAATTATTTGAGGATTTTCAACAGCAGCAACAACAAAAATGGATAGTACGTATAACTTGAAAAGAGAATAATGACATAATCAAGATGCTGACATTCCACACAACCTCAAACAAAAGGCAAGTAATAAAGCCTCCATCAATACTAAAAAGAGCAATAACAGCTACTGGACTAGAGAAACTTTTTTTCTGAAAATAAACTTTTTAAGAGAAAGATTTTATATATTCTAACTAGAAACAGCTCTGATTGCTCTGTCAATGAATGCCAAATGTTTCCTTATAAGGAAAGAGTTAATATTACCATTACCATAGTTTTGTATGTTTACCCTCATATTTAAAGGATTATTTCTTTTTTACTTCGTGTATCTGATTCTGAAAACTTTTGGCAATTTAAAAACTGAACATATAATAGATTATATATTTTAATTTTTGGTGTTCATTATAGCAAAACCAGCCTTTGAAAACAGATTACTTGTAGGTTTTTGGAGAACTTGAAAAGTGTAATTGCTGTATTGTATATCACAGTAAAATTTTAATCAACCTTTTCAGCTTTCACACAAAGGATTGCATTACAAACATAATCACATTGTGTGTGCATATATATATATATATATATATATATATATATATATATAAACTAGCAAATAACATGAATGTATCTTGTATCTATAAAGATAGTCATAGTGATATTGTAATATAGTTAGTGTACTTCTAAAATATTAATTATTTCCTTATAAAAGGTATTATTTCAAGTCAATGAAAATTGACTATATTATCATTCCAAGAGTTGTTCAGACTATTGAACTCATTGTTTTGTTTTTATTGTGTACAAAGTTTCAACCAATCCATTCTACAACCTTCTTCATATGTATGATCTGTAAAGAAAGACAGGAGTCTCTTGTTATTGAAAAAAAAAAATGACAAACCAAAAAGAAATAGTGTCTAATTGGTTTGGCTCATTCCTAGCAATGTAAGCTACATAGACAATGCCCTTCTCAGCAACTCCTGTAACAAAAGTTGTTGAACGATATTGGTTAAAATATTGTGCTAACAAAAAAACAAGTAAAAAGAATGATTTCAATTCTTGGAATGATAATGACTTCTCAAAGTTATCTAAAATACATTATTATTCATATAAATTTATATAAATGTTTGTGATTTTTCAGTATCTCAATCCCAATATTACTGCACCATGCATAAATAGATGTGTGGAGGTAGGATGAATATTTTTATATGGAAAAAAAAACATCCATGGGATGTGGTAGAGAGGTCTATTTGTACATGGTAGAGTTCTAGATCCTGCACAGGTCTGCAAATACCAGGGAGCTGTGGACAGCTATTGAAACAGCATGATTCACTATCTCTCCAGGGGTCTCCTGACCACTTGTGAAATTGATGCCATGTCTAGTTGTTGCATTTTGCCAAGCTAGAAGGAGTTCTACATGACACTAGGCACTTTTCACATAATTTTATTGTTGGTCAATCATTATAAAACCCTATCAAATGCACTGTATACTATACAGTATGTTTATTGATGGAATAAGTGGCACCATCCTTGAATTGGGATATGATTTAATGCAATGTTCCTCTTCATTGCATAGTTTGCATTTTTATCACTTGCTGGAAGTACAATTCTTGCATTACCTGTGGGTGTTCACAGATTTAACATGTCATAGATGTTTTGAAATCACATGTTTCTGATATACCCTTGCATTTGTTGCCATATTGAAGATAGTGCCTCATCGTTTTGGTCACAACATTCTATAATCAGATTGTATTGTCCTGTCAATATCCCATGCCTGAGGGTGAAGCAATGCTGTGTCTGTTCAAGACATGGGAAATCATGGCTCTCCACAACTTCATATCCTTTGTAGCCTTTAGCAATGTTTGCTTTAGCTACCCTTCTCCTTCCTGTTCTGACATCATTTACGCAAACTCATTAGGTAAGTTACTGCTTTTCTCTGTTCCTCTTCAGTATGCCCTGTGTGTGTTATATTTTGCAGGTATTTTTTCTTCATTGTGTATCCCAGGAATTTTAACTCTTTCTGATTTTATATGTAATTATACTTTTTATTTCCTTTTTCCTTAAAACTTCCATGTTTTTTACATGCTCTATCTATGGCATTCTAAGCATTCTTTTGTAGAACCACATATTTGTTGTCTCAAGTCTCCTCTTTATCTGTGAGGAAATTATCCAGCATTCACTGCCATATAGGAGAATTGATATTACACAGCAGTTTAGCACTCTTTTGATTGTTTCTAATGAAATTTTCCTGGTTTTTTTATTTTATTTTGGGGAAAATATTTTTGCTATTCTAATATGCTTTCAGATTCCAGTGTCATGTTTTCTGTCATAAAACATTTCCCAGATATTTAAACTTCTGTACTTATTTGATTTTGATGTTTTCAATTTGTAGTTCTCATTTTTGGATTTTTCTCTTGCAAGCGATCATACATTCTGTCTTACAATTGATATTTAGTCCTTTTTTCCTGCTTTCCATCAAATGTCTCTAATTTTAGCATGTCAGTTTATTATGAGTGTAAACAGTAATTTGTGGAGAAATTGGGAGTAAGATTATGAGAGACCTGACTGATCATAAAGGCATCTATAGCCAGAATGGTGAAGGTATTGTACATATAAGATCAACTCTCAAAACATGGGATGCAAGTTCAGCAGGTGTCAAAAGATTTCCCACCATTGAAGAGTAGCTTGGCAAAAATTGTGATAAATTTGAAGAAATTCATAATAAAGTTTGTCATAGTAAACCAGAAGTTCTTTTGATTGAAATTCATTTAATACATTAATAAATATCCATGGCAGCCCTTCAGATTTTAGTCTCCAATCCAACTGGGAAAATAATTACAAATATTAGAAGCTCTTCACATCAAAAGATAGCAACCATTATCAGTGAATTTTTTTTTTATGTCAGTATACACATGTTGAAATGCCTTTGAACTGTAAAGTTATTTTAGTCATGTGATACTATAATTTATTTCACCACCATAGCATGTTAATCTAGGTTCATTTTAAACTCTGGATCGTTAATAGCGTAAATGCTCCATAGATTACCTCTTGACTTCCAACTTCTTTCTTTAAAAATGATCATTGATGGTTTAAAGTACTTGGAACATTACACCCAATTTTGGCAAGTTCCTTTACAATTTCCTTTACAATTTTATCTTTGAATTGATGAGTGATAATTTATGCAAAATTTGTTCTATTGAAGATGGTCGGAAAATATGAAAGAATCATGAAAAGTTTTTTGGCTTCATCCATTTTCCTAAAATCTGACCAAAAATCTTTTTAGTGTGACCTATTTTCCCAAAATTTAACCAAATTTTTTTGGCTTCACCCATTTTCCCAAAATCTGACCAAATGACCAAACATCAGAATTTTTTATAATTCCCTTCTTGGTCAGGCCAAGAATGTATTAAAAACTTCTTCATAAGTTTAGAGTTTTAAACAACTTACTTGACATCAGTAAAAACTTTTAAAACTCACCAAAAAGCTTAACAGACATTCTCTGTCAGTTCTATTTAGTAAAACATGTTTAAACAAATTAATATTGTAGCAAATGGAGAGAATAAACAATTATTTACTTATTACAGGAAAGGGCTAATGACTTTCATATTTTTTTAAGTAAATTAAGATGTTTTAGAGAAATATTTAATTTATTAAAGTTATTTAAACCAAGCATTCATATTTATAAAAAATATATTTATTCTAGGTGAAATACAGTAACTTGAGAATTTATTTGATAAGCCAGCATGGTTGAGATCTTAAAAAGATTTTATTTTACATGACATATACTCTTACCCTCTGATTGTTTTCCAGGAGACATAAACACCATTTTCCATGAGTTTCTCGGACAATTTTTCACATTCAAAGTCATCTTCATCAGTTGGATTCTAAAGACCAATTAAAAATTTTATTTCATGTCATTCATAATTCAGATCACTCTATTGAAATATTCTTACAAAAATTGAAGAAAGGAAAAAAGAATTCTTTGTAAAAAGAAAAACTGAAAAAAAGAAAATTAGTATGGATCAATAAGTCCATAGCCTGACACAGTTATTAGCTGAATTTTGATCCTAAATATTCACAGTATTATGTTCAATGTATTAATTATTATTAATAAAGAAACATTGAATTCAGTGCATTGACAAGGAAGATTATATTGAAAAACTAGCAGCATGGCCTGGCGTTGCCCGTGCTTGATTAAAAAATTGTACGACTCATACAGCAATCGCTATCACTTGACTTAAAATATTTTTGCTCTTCCTTGCCTTTAAAGGAGTGCCCTTTGCTGTGCTGATGTTGCTACATGCCTTACTTCTTGCCTATCTCACACTGTGAATTTTTTCTAAGCTCTATACTAAACATTAAATCTGTTACAAAAAAAGAACTAAACAAAATGAACACAAAACGATCAGCTTTAAAAAAGGACTCGTAACTACTGGAAAAACCGAATGAAAAAAGAATGTTAACAACAGATACTTTTTCACACTCAACCCAGTTCTGCGGAATCAGAATCAACATTGAGTTTAAGCAAGTGAAAGAGCCAATTGGAGTAAAGTGCCATTTTCCCCACTTGTGACGAATGCAGCTATCGATTTTTTTTTGCATGCTAGCATGCTAGTTAACATTTGTGTCAGTCAGCTGTTGGCTCTTACGCTGGCCAATAGAATCTTCCTGCCTATTCATGGCAGCCAGCTATAGGCTCTCACTCTGGCCAGTACGAAAATGGCCGCAAACTACATGAAAATTGCCGTAGAATCATGAAAAAATCGATTATTTCCACTATCGATGGGAGTTGGGAAATGCAAAGTCAGTCTTGGCCTTCTCGCTAACTTGGAGCATGTGCATGTAAATTTTGGTGCAAATCTGTCAAAAATTGCGGCCATGTATTCGTTACACACACACACACACGCATCCTGCCTTTTATAGATAGAGATAAATATTTGTGGTGTAGAATAAATGCTTCATTTTTTTTTTTTTTCAACATTAGGCTATGGATTTATTGAAAAACCTATTATTACTTATCAATCTATCTACCATGTTTGATGGTATATAGAGAAAATGTTTTCTAAAAGTATATGCTAAAAAATCACCCTGTGTCTTATAGGTGATGTTGAGGTCTCCCTTATTCTAATTTTATCCGCAACTGTCACTACCATCTACATAATAAATGCAAAAATCTCTGTCACACTTTTTCAATTAAAGAGACACAACTCTATAACTTTAAAAATCACATCTTCTATATAAATAAATGCAAATGTCAGTGTGTCACACTTTTGCAGCTTTACTCCTAGAGGCCATAGCCCAACATATCATACCATTTTGGAATCAGGGTGACTCTGTAAGCAAATTAAAACATTCTGGGCCGGATCCAAATTCACAATCCTGAAATTTTGGATTCCCAAGTTTTCATTACTGCGATTGTTTTCGGTGATATTTTTTTTTTTTTTATGTGATTTTTTGGGACAAATTTTTTTGTACAATGAATAATTTTATAACTTGGAAATAAATTTGGGAATAATTGAAATTAATTGTGAAATCCAATGAAAGTTACCCAAGTAATTGTTTGTACACAAAGTAAGGACCTACACACATCAAATTGTCTTTAAATTAAAATGGTGGCAGAAGAATTATTGTTGAACTTTTAAAAGGTAAGCTTAAATATTAAAGCATACTTAAACTTACTTTTGAGTTCTTCTGTAGTTATTGTTGCCTATCACATACAGCACCAGTATGCCTCTCAAAAAGAAATCTCCACCAACAGAGGACCAGATTGCAATCGAAAGAACTAAGGCAGCAGTGAGGAAAAGCATGTCCTGTGCAAATGAAAACCCAGGTCAAACAGCAGCTAAGAGAGCTTCCAATACTGAGAGTATGCAAAGACTTAGGGATTCTCAAACTCCTGAAGAAGCCAAAGGCCCAATCAAGAGCTCTACACTTAAATGTTGCCTGATAGGATGGCTTTTAAGCTAGTAGGCTATAATTTTATTTCAAATGGTCTCTTTCCACTAGCATAACCCAATATTATTTACTCAAATAACATCATCATTATTATTATTATTTATTATTATTATTAATACCACCAGTACTGTACAGGGAATTCTTATAACAAGATATTGATGATGTTCATTGGCAACAGCTGATCTGTCATATCTAAATATGCATCAACACATTCCTAAAATTAATCAGATGGAAACTACAGAAGAAAGAGAGAAACATAGCTGAAAAGAAACAGTGGTAATGACAAAACACTTGCTTAGAAAACACAGCAGTAAGATCCTAAAGAAATATGACTTACATTTTAAGTGGTCAAAGAAGAATGACTCATAAAGGGTTGGGCATGTTTACATTATGATTTCTTGCTTTATGTTCAACTATACTATTAGCTTGCTTTTTATATACAGTAATGTTTCCTGCTATCACTAAATTGCTTTTGTCATATTTTGTAATGTACTGATAGTTTGTTGTAAACATTACATGCTTAAATACACTAAAATCATTTTCCTGAATATGTTCTGCTGAAATAGAGCTAATTTTTACTGTCAAATACAGTAAATACTTGTAGTGGAGGGATTAATGATTTGATCTCACAAGCCATTTTTAGTAGATGTGTTTCAAAATTTTACCTTTAACTTTATGAGTGATAATTTTTACACTTTTTTTTCTATTGAAAAAGTTTCATAATGATCTACAGATATGAAAGAATTTAGAAAAGTTATTGGTTTAACACATTTTCATAAAATCTGACCAAATGACAGAATTTTTTTCTAATTTCTATTTTGGTCAAGAACTTTTTAATACATCTTCATAAGTAAGTTTAGTGTTTTACCTACATGCATATAAAAAAGAGAAGAAAAAATTCATTGAATTAGAGATTAACTCATATAAATTAACTTTTATATTTTTCTTTTTGTTTTACTGCTTTCCTCTTTGTTCTTTATTCAATTATAACTAAAATATGAGAGTCAATCAATAAGTCTGTAACCTAATACATTGTTATCAGATGAATTTAAATTATGAAATAATGATTGATCTATTAATATTCACCATTGAAATATGTGCATTGACAAGGAAGGAGATTATGCTGAAAAATAAATATTTGTTGTGTAAAAACATGCTTTTTTTACCATTAGGCTTCAAATATACTGACTTATCTATACTATTTACATTATTCAGACTATTGTCCTCATCTTTGTTGTCATATTTATCACAACGTTTTGGCCGTTGTATGTTGGTTGGAATGTCAAACTGAACCCTTTATTTTGCTTGCTGGGGTAGACTGTTCTAGTTCCACGTACCATGTCTGTTGTCTAAGTTATCTCCTATTAATTCACGTCTTCAAGTTCTCCACTGCCTTAACCAGGTATTGAACTCACAACTCTTTGGGTCTTGTCACTGGATCTAACCAACAATGCTTTTATCCATTGTGTCATGTGTCCTTAAGGACATCTGGGTATGAATTTCTGGGACTTATAAACTTAATGTCTTCAGCAACCATTTTTACCAATGCTCATATTGCAATTTTTGCTGTTATCATTGCATGTTTTTTACTAGAGCTCATATTGCAATTTTTGTTATTATTGCTTTTCTCTGGCACTCCTATATTGTATTCATTTCTATGCTTGGTCAGCTCAGGAGATTTTTGTGGCCTAGCATATGTGCTGATTCCTTCAGTTTATGAATTTTCCAATGATGTTTTTTGTCTATGATTTCAATCTGATCCCACAGAAGGTAGTGATCTCCCTTTTCTCTCCATATGTGGTCAGCCACACCTGATTTTTCCACTTCCCCTCATGTTACACCTTTTTGGTTTTCTTGAAGCCTTACCTTAAGAGGTGGTCTGTCTCCCCTTTATATCTCTTTCCACAGCTGCATGGGATGGTGTATACACAGTCTTTAGTCATGTTCTCCTCTATGGGGAGGGGATCTTATTCGGGAGAGATATTTGCGAAGTGTTGTCCAGCTTTTGAAGGTTGTCCTGATGTTATATGGACTGCAGATCCTTTGTATTTTCTCTGATAATCCCTTCACATAAGACAGGCAGACTGTTTTCTGAGTGCTGTTGTCCTCCTCTTGTACCTACCTATCCCATGCAGCTAAAATATAAAGGGGAGACAGGCTGCCCCCTTATGGTAAGGTTTCAAGAACACCAAAAAGCCGTAACATGAAGGCTGTAGCATACAACGGCCGAAACGTTGTGATAAATATGGCAACAAAGATGAGGACAATAGTCTGAATAATATAAATAGTGTACATAATACCTCATCTCAGAAATATAGACAGATACTGACTTAGTTATATATTAAATATTTACACAATGATAATTCATCTGCTTTGTGTTATATACCTAATAGCTGAAATAGTTGTGTATTTTACAATAGAGTTAGAGATCAGTGTTCAAGCCCAGGTAAAAACCAGAATTTTTATTGCAGGTTTCTAAGCAGAAGCAGACTGGTATCAATGGGTTTTTTGCGGTAACAAGTTCTTCTTCTATGTGCCATGTTGTGTGCGATCATGACTCTCCACAACTTCACATCCTTTGTGGTTCTTATTAATGTTTGATTTTCTGTTATCTCTCCTAACCCCTGTTCTACCAACCAGTTATACAATTTTGTTAAGTTATTCACTGCTTTCCTCTGTCCCACTTACCTTCAGTATATCCTGTGAGTGTCAAATTATCCAAGCCCTCTTTCCTTATTAAGTGCCCTAGAAATTTCAACAGTCTCTTTAAGATTCTAAGTGTAAGTGTCCTTTTTGTTTCCATTTAGCCTAAAACTTCCTTATTACTCACATATTATCATCAACATCTTTCTGTAGAACCACATCTCTGTTGCCGCAAGTCTCTACTTCATCTATGAGGAAATTGTCCAACATACACTGCCATATAGGA